CTATAAATAAGACAAAATCTTTATTCCAACCATTCATCTGTGCCTTAGGTAGATTCCTTCTTCTCATGAATGATGTCCTGTTCAGATGTTTTTGTCCCTGGAAAGGCACTGCTCAGCTTTGTTTGGACTGAACCTTCACCTAGGCAGGCTGGCTTTGCCCCTTCCACACAGTGTGGTCTGCCCTGAGCACACTAAGGAACAATGGACAGATGAACCAATCAGTGGCGTGTGTCCCTGAGACAGACTGGGTTAGATTAATGGTGGTTTCAAGCTCTTTCATATTCTTCCCATTGAGAGGGGGAGTCTCATTCTCCTCCCTTTGAGTCTGGGCTGGCCTTAGTGACTGCTTGACTGAATGCAGTAGAAGGCACATCTTCCCAGGCTAGGTCATACAAAGCTTTGCAACTTCCACTTGAGCCTCCTAGAAGGTTTTCTCTTGGAGCCCTTAGCCACCATGTAAGAAGTCTATCCACGTGGAAAGGTCCTAAGGAAACATGGAGAGTCGGAGGGACCCAACCGAGCCCAGCCTTCCAGCTGTGCCTTCATAAGTGCCAGACATGGGAGTGAGGCCCTTCTGAACCTTCTAAGCTACCCACCCAGCAGCTGAATACCATCAAGTGACCTCCAGTGATGCCACATGGAACCAAAGACTCAACCAGGTGATCCTTCCCCAATTCCTGGTCCACAAAGTCATAAACAATAATAATACGGTGGTGGTTTTAAGTCACTAAGTTTTGGGGTGCTTTGTTGCACGTCAGTAGATAACTGAAACACAAACACGGCTGGAGCTTATGACTCAGGCTCAGAGGCTGAACCAACCATCAACGAAGGCTTTCAGGCAAGGGCTCAATCACTGGATTTTGGAAGCCAAAGACACCTGAGTGGCACAGATGAGACAAAGGGAAATGTGTTTCCATAGGCCATCTGTCCTAGACGATGTGTTCAAATGAATCTGAATACTTCTCTCTGTGAACAATGACCATATGCCAGGTGAACACCGGTAACATCCACGAACTGTCCTTTCGTGTGACAGGGGAGCTACTGCAGTGCTCACGCTGTCAACTTGATGATGTAACCTGCCTGCTCCACATTGTTAAAAGGTGGCAGTTTGGCACGAGGATGTGTGAATTCAAGTGATCAGATGCAAACTAAAAGAGAAACGACTATTTCTGAGAGCTGTGGGTTAATTTTTTTGGGCTGTTCTCGGAATGGAAAATGATTGTGAATTTTGGGGGAAAAATACCAGAGCAATCTGTTTTCTTGGCCGCGTGCTGTGGAGCAATTTTAAACCATTGAAGTGCTTTTCATATTTTCTAATCACTCAAGACCAGAGCTGATTATGGCTCTCAGCCTCTCTCAGATTCACACCACTGGAGCCCTCCACGTCTTCCAGGGAGAGGTTTCACCTTGAAGGCAGGTGCCCGGATGCAGAAGGCACATCTTGCTGCAGCAGGAACAAACAGTTTAAGTGTAGCCCAGCTCCACAAGGGCCAGGTGTTTTGGAAAATCACTGATGGCCCAACTCCGAGACAACCCAGATTCGCTTTCTCTTATCTCACAGAAACAAAACATGACCTCCTCTCCAAAAAGAAAAAACAAAAACAAGCGCTACCAGAAACTGATTTCCTACAAACAGAGAAACAGAGAAATTTAGATTGTTGAGATCTGCGGGCAAGGACACACACACACACACACACACACACACACACACACACACACACACACACAGTCGCATATGAAATAATATAGAAGGTGTCCCAAGAAATTGGTAACTGCGTTTTCCTCTGTGAAGAACTGGGGAACTGGAAAGAGTTGGGGGGTTGATGCAGAGGAAGGATTTTTTCACCCTAACCTTTTGAATGTTTAAGAATCATGTGTTGTATCACTTTTCAAAATGATGAAGCAGAATAGTTCCAAACCTGCATATGGTACTTACAATGTGCTAGGCAGTGTGTTAAATGCTTTACGTACATTCACTCTTTTAATCCTTACAACAACCCTGCATCACAGGATGCAGACATCATTATATAACATTCTGATTTTACAGAAGAGGAAACGAAAAGTACAGGGAGATTAAATGACTTGTCCAAAGTCACACAGCTAGTAAAGGCAGAACCCAGAGTCTGGACCCAGAGTCCGGTCCTGGAGTCTATCCTATTAATTGCTACATAACACTGCCTAGCTAAAAATAAATATACTCAGTCGCTTGCTCATAATTGAGTTGGAGCAGATAAAATCATTCCTTTCTTCTCTTATATGGTCCCCCAGGGAAATGGGGTGGAGAAGATCGCTCAAAATAGCCAGGGTATAATTCACCGATTATCTTCAACCTGTGCTAGGCTAGGCGCGGTGGCTTACACCTGTAATCCTAGCACTCTGGGAGGCCAAGGCAGCGGGATCGCTTGAGCTCAGGAGTTCCAGACCAGCCTGAACAAGAGTGAGATCCTTTCTCTATTAAAAAAGAAAAAAATTAGCTAGGCGTGGTGGCATATGCCTGTAGTCCCAGGTACTTGGGAGGCTGAGGCAGTAGGATCTCTTGAGCCCAGGAGTTTGAGATTGGTGTGAGCTAGGCTGATGCCACAACACTCTCTAGCCCAGGTGACAGAGCAAGATAGATCTCAAAAACAATAAAAACTCAAAAAAAAAACCAAACAAAAAACCCACAAAAATACCTGTGCTGCTTTAGAATTGTATAAATTTCAAGTCAATATCATGACTTTGGCCAAGTCCCTTAATCTTTCTGAGCATTAAGTAATTAAGCAATTACTAAGTGTCAGGTGCTCTGCTAGGTTTTCAGGACAACTAATAAATAAAATAGAGTCCCTGCTCTCATGAAATTTCCTGTATCCTGGCAGAGACAGGCAATAAACAAATACCCAAACTGTAATGTGAGCAATAAAGAAAAATTAAAGGGTGCATTGAGAGATGAGTATTGGGGACCCCGATTTATACTGAATGGTCAGGAGTGTGATTTAGACAGGGTGCTGAAGAACAGAAAGGAATAAGCAGGAAACATGGAAGGGCATGGGAGAAGGAAATGTGTTCTAGTGCAGGGAACAGCCTAAGCAAAGACCCTGAGGCAGGGAAGGGTTATCTGAGGACAGAAAGGCTTGTGTGGCTAAAACAAAGTGAGTGTAATTAAATTTGGAGCAAGAGGCAAATCATGTGGACCACAGTAAGGATTTTGCAATTTTTCTTAAGAACCCTGTGAACCAATGAAGGTTGTAAGTAGTAATGACACAACCTGATTTCCTTTTTGGAAGATTTACTTGGGCTGCTGCTTTGATAATATGTATAGGTGGAGGCATTGGAAGAAGGGGAAGACCAGCTAGGAAGCTATTGCAGGAATCCAGGCAAGTGATGGAGATGGCTTAAAATAAAGTGCTGGCAGAGGGAGCACAGCAGATAAATTTGAGATCTAAGTTGGTGGCACAATATTCTGTGAAAGGAGAACAATAATGTTAGCTGAGAAGTGTTATTGTGAAGTACAAGTTTATTGCAAGGTGCCAAGCAAAGATAACCATTACTGTAGGTGAAGAAACCAAGTACTAGAGAGACCCTAACTTGCCCAAAGTCACACAGTTGGCTAGTGGCAGGGGGAAAGGAGGTGAAGCAGTTGGCCTGCAATCCTTCCATTCCCTCCTTTGGGTGTATACTCTGTGAGAAAGAAAAGAAGGCTGGTGACCAGGTATAATCTTGCCAAATGGACCTCTGGGGAAATAGAGTAATGGTGCTGAAGATGTCCCCGGCTAAGGATTACCTCCAATCTATAGATCTCAGGATCTATGAAGCAGGGCTCCTTGGAGAATATCACGTCAGCTATACGCCACTCTAGAGTACAGTAGGGAGATATTTCATAACTGAAATGCTCCAAATGCTCCATGCAGTGAGAGGTGACCCTGTGATGCTCACCTGTTATTCTAGGTGAGGCATGTGTGTCCAATGCGAAAAGATAGGACCTGGGGAGCCACTGTTGGGGTCCCATGTTTTTCTTTACATGGTATGAATCTCTTGATTGCCTGTACTCTTGAAATTATTTAGCAAATCTTGATATTGGGTAAGATATCTGATTTATGTGACATGATTGGACAATCACATTCCCTCGATGTGTTCAGTGGCACATAACTGTTCCCCAGATTGCACTCTTTCCATGATCCCTATTAGCTTCTGTAAAACGTCAGGCCTGATTATAAGGTCCAGGGATGAAGGGATGACAGACTTGGTTTGCTCGAACCCCTTACTAGTGGCAAAACGAATATTTACTTGACACATCAGATACCTATCTAACTGAAAAATTAATGTTTTGCGATACTTATGCCATTGGAGAAACACAGTAAATCTGGCTTCATTGTGATGAAAACAGGAAGTACATGATACTGGATTCTCTGTGATGGTCTGTCAGATTACCATGGGAGGTGAATGAACCAGGACTTTGCGTCTCCAGTGACTGATCCTAAGCGGTTATCGTAGAGAGAGCTCTTTGGATGTGCAGGCGCTCACCTCCCACCCTCCAACTGCCAAAGAATCAGTACAACGTCAATGTCCTGCAGTGAACATCATCCCCCCAACTACTCCTGGCCCTCCTAAGTCACGGAGTTCTTGTTCCCACTCTCTTTTTTAGGGTGCATAATTTATCTTCACACACGACTTTGTTTTGAAACTTAGAGATGATGATTAAAAGAGAACTGCTTCTCTAGCTGGAAGGGAGGAAAACCTTTTTGTCCTCTCTGCGTCATAACACACTGTATTTATGCCGGAGGCGTTAAGAGACAGAATCAGCGCATGAACCGTATCCTACTCCTGGTACAACAACTAGCGATCATGAACTGAGCTGTTGCAGATAAAGCACGTCCAAGGGCCAGGGCTGCTTCTGGCAGATGCTAAACAAGAGGATGCTGGCAGGTGTGTGTGACGATTGCATACATGTGTTTTATGCAGAGAAGCCATTTGACATTCTCTTTTCCCCGAAACAAGCTCCCAAATCCAAGCCTGATGCTTACCTTCAGCGAGAGGGTCAAGGGTGTGTATCATGAGCTGGAAGATGCTATTCCTCATGAGACTGTTGTGAAGGGAAGCAGAACTTCCACCCCGCTGGAGACGTGGCTTAGCCTGAGCAGAGAAACCAAAGACGTGGTTAGTCTCAGAAACGAAAGGCAAGTGCATTATAGACAAAATCCTCACCTAGCCTGGTGGCCACTCATTCCTGTCACACGATCACACACTATTAGAGCCAAAGCTTTTCAAAATGCATTTCGAACCCTCTGAGCAAATGGCTTTCTCACATCCTTTTCTACTAAATAAATGAATTGCTTCCATTTTTTTTAGAGCTTAGTAAATGCCAGGCAATATGCTATATGCTTCACATCCCTTGGTTTATCTCATTCTCAAAATTAACCCTTTGAAGTGGATATTGTTGTTATTCCCTTTAGATAGATGAGAAAGCTTCATCTCGGAGAAATGAAATGAGATGTCCAAGTCACGTAGACAACAAACAGAGGCTGCAGGAATGGATCTCAGTCTGCTTTCCTCAAAGGTTATCTGAACTGGTGAGTGGTCTCTAACATTTTTGGATTGTGCATCCTATCAGTAAATGTCTAAGTGTGTATATATGTGTCTATATCCATGTCTATGTCTCTATTTATATCTATATCCATGTAGATACACATACCAAAATAAGAGTATATAAAAACATTTCCAAAAATAGAAGTTAAGAAGAATGATAAAGAAAGTAAATGCTAGAGGTGTTAATATTTCCTTCTTGCTTCCCAAGGGATCATCTCACCCATCTGCTGGGGTACCTCATCTCTAGCCTGGGACCACAGCTCAAATTCAGAGAGTAGGATGGTCTACACAGAGAGAGAGAGAGAGATTCAAAGAGCTAGAACCTCTTATCATGAATCCACGGGGAACCCTCCTAACTTCAAGAGGGAGCTTCTATTGTACAAACTGCTACTCTTTGTGATTCTTTGCTCAAATAAATGGAACTGATAGGTGAGAGAATAAGAATGAGCTTCTAGAGATAAGGTTACCAACAAACTCTTTTTCTTTTATCTTCGAAAACAAACAATCTAAAAAAACCTTTGAGCCCTCTGTATTTTGACAGATTTTCATCCTAAATAGGAACTGCTTTTTCCCCCTTGGATGATTATCACAGAGGAAGATGCTCAGAGGAAGTGCAGATTTATAGACAGATTTAAGAGTGAGGAAGGTCTTGCAATATAAGGAAATTAATTTCTTTTTGAACTTCTGGAGCAAAAGATTGACATGAAATTTTTCTGGGGTCAGGTAAAAATAAAACACTATTTTCCATTATGTCTTCCATCCCTTTACATACAGGGTTTTCCAAAATATTCCATCACACTCCAGATCCACAAGGGGGCTTCCCCAAGAATTCTTCCCCAAGAATCCCCTAAGAGATTCCAGGATCAAATACATTTGGAAAGTGCTACATCCTAGGCCAACTCACCTTTAGAGTTTCAAGATACACATTAGACCACTAAATCAAACACTATAGCAATCTGGCTAACTTGATCAATTTGGGCAGTGTTTCCAAACTATACCCAATAGGTCTCTTATTTTGTAACATACTTGTTAGCAATCATGGTCCACACATTTGGAGACAAACATGAAACCTACAGTAAGCTTGAAGTATAGGTTAAATCTCACTATGAGATACATGGAGAAATCTGACTTTCTTAGTGTGATTGTATTATAATTGATATTATATTGGAAATCATATTCCCAATTCAACAGCGTTGGAGAAGACTCAGAGGAGATTACTGAGGTTGCAGTGGTGAGCCAGAATAAAGCTCCTCAATGGAAAAGACGGGGTCTGTACCCCTAGCCTGCTACTGGACCAGGAACATTCTATGAACTCTCAAGGAATGATAGAAATCTTTGCTCTGAGCATTATAGGAGGAAGGACTAGGTCATATGTATCTTCATTGCTAGTCCTTTTAGCCTTAAAAGTGTAACATTTTTTAATGCATTGTGTTATTTAGTTATGGAGTATTCAGACGATTAAGGTTCAAAATATTTTTGGAGCAAGGTTAGGAGACATGAATAGAGTGGAAATGTAATCACTGTTTGATGGCTGAGCACAAAAACTGTGAAGGTCATTTCCTTTGCATGCTGCACAATATAAAATGTGACATGTTAATTGAATAGGAACTGGAAAATGTGTTTATTGATAATAATTTGTCATAACACTGTTACTATGGCCTTATTCTGGGAAAGTGGAAGAACTCTGCTGTGGAGATCTTTATTAAGAGAGGACTATACCTACAGGCATTATATATATATGTATTGAATACATAGGTCTCATGCAGCATTTCTTTTGATGGGACCAAAAGAAATTTCCAATCAAAAAGTATGTGCATGCAGATACACAAAGAAAATAGGCATGAAGCATTTCATTCAATAGTATCCCCAAATATCAGCTCAACATCCCTTGGAATGCAATTTGGAAATATCTCACTTTTTAAAACTCCTATAAATGTCATGTCAAAGGGAAGAGAAAATTCAAACTTTTGAAACGCAGTCTTAGAAACTGCTAATTATAGGATAGCATATACATACATACCAGGGGGTTAGACTATCTAAGAATTCCAAGGGAGAGGATGATTTGTTGAGCAATTTGTTGAGTCCTTCATTTCCCCCTCCTCTAGCCCCCCCTCCCCGCCCCCTCTCCCACCACAGGCACCGAGCAGGTATAGACAGGGCCATTGCTTCCTACCGGGAGAGCCGGTTCATCCTTGTCCCTGGTTGCAGATGACTGCATGAGAGGAAAAGGCAAAAACAAAAGACAGAAAAATAAATAAACAAGGAATCACATATAGGATTTACATTAAATAACAAGCATCAGCATAGAGAAAGATTTGGTTCGTTCTGTATCTGGGATGAGTTAAGCAAAAATAGGGGCCAGGGGTATATATTTCTAGCCAATATATAATGGTTTATTTAGGCACATGATTCAGTCTCCTGAAAGGTCAAAGTTGAATGGCCAACCCAAATGTCCAGCTATCCAGAGCAATTACATCAACTGTGGCCCAGCCATGCTGTGGAATACCACATGATCATTAAAATGAATGAGGCAAGTTCACATGTACTAACACAGAAAATATCTAAGGTATATTGTTAAGTGTAAAAAATTTAAAAACGTTATTTATTGTTGTTGCATAAAATAAAATAATAATACTTTAGTGCATTAAATAAAAAAAATTCTACAGGAATTATACCAAACTGTTATTAGTGGTTATTGTTGGGGGTTAGGATTGCAAGAAAATGTCATTTCCTATGTGTTTTGCATTCATTGCCCCATGTGTGGTGAATAAAATAAAGCCTGAAGAAGTTAGAGGCCTAAAGGATCCAAGAGGAGGGGACGGTCCCTGTCTAACCTCCATTAAATTCATCAGTCTTACCCCTCCAGAAACCAGATTGATCCTAGCGAATGACTGACCATTGCGATGAATCGAAGACTAGGATCATCACACGTGGAATTCAGATAATCCACCTTTTCCCCTCTTCCTGCCACCTCATGTATTGTATTCTAAAAATGGAAATCTCTGCAAGTTGGGGAATGTTACTTAAAACACAAGGGCACATGAGGCCTTGTTCATCTGCTGGGAAAGAACATGACGTAGACAAGGAGATAGTGGAATTCTACCAACATGGCCCCACTGGATGTCTTTGCTTCCTCAACTCAGCGTGAGCTCTCCTTCTTCCACAGAATCGGGGCACCGTCCTGGGATCTCAATGGTGTACAGGTGCTTTATGAATGTCCTTACACTTAGACACTGCCTAGGTCACTTCACCTCAACGACAGGTGCAGTTGGCAAGAACAAACTGGAAACTTTCCCCTGTCTTGCCTTGTGGTCCTCCCCATTAGGGTCTGACTGAGCGGATGTTTGTCTTCAGGAATGATCACGCGCTTGGAGAAGAACTGTTTTAAAACCTGCACGTGCTCTAGGCTTTCTTTTTTAGGTCCTACCACACGCATCATGTAAAGATGTTAAGATGCCCCCACATCCCACATAAAATATACACTATCGTGTTGAAAAAAATGGAAAGGATTTTTACAATTTTGAATTTCAAATTATTGGCTATGTGCGATTCATTTAATTTATGCTTGGCATGCTCAAAATCTTGGAAAGTGAAAAAATTGAATTCATAATTTGTTTTCATATGGAATTTTTAAGAAGACAAAATTTAATACTCAGGCCAATATTAAATATTTTGTAGACATTCAATTAAACATTTAATAATCTTGATTTTTTATAGATACCTTTTTGGATTTTGGAGTCAAAACCAATGTATATTTTTTTTTTTCCTTCTGGTTCCAAACATTTTTATAGGCTCTTGAAGAACTTGTGAGTGTCAGACACAGACAGAAGGGTTCTGGGTTGGTGGTAATTTCTGAGCACAGTCTGTGGCCATCACTAAATTTGCCATAACCCTCTGATTTGGGGTTCTCCCTCAGTGACTTCTCTAAAAACACTAATGGGAAAATATCCCTGATGCCCTAGTTCCCAAGAACATGCTTGCAGAACCGGTATGGACCGGAAATTGTCCTTTGATTTCCTTCTTTGCTCTGAAAGGCGCTGTATGATCCTGCGTCTCTCTGGCGGGTCCTTTCATTTTCTCTCCTTCCACATCAGACAGCTTAACAAATGGCCTCACATTCTACAGAGCAATCCCCCAGGGAAATTTTCCAGTGCAGCGAGCTCAGCCTTTCGACATGCACCGAGATTAACTGTCAGAGCACGCCTTTTCAGTTAGCAAATTTACACCTCGTGGCTAAATGGGAGGCAAATAATTATGAGCCAGGATTGATACCACAGCACATGAAGGGGCAGCACAAAACTGACTCCAGAAAAGGGTCAGCTTCAGAAGAGCAAAGAGATCGCCAGCTGAGAGTCTGAATTTTTAAAATATGTTTAAAGAAACTATTTAAAGAAGGAAAAAAAAAATCTGAATCTGTCTTTTGGTCTGAAAGGAAGAAAAAATATCTACTCTATTGACTTCTTTTTTTTTCTCTCACAAGCAAGGAGGATCATAAAACATAAAAAGTGGAAGAAAAATGCCTTGTACGTAGATTCTACAAAGAAAAAACTAAGTGCAGAGAAAGGTCTGAAATCCTTTATAAAATTTCCTACTGTTTAAAGTCTGCAAAGTTGATTTTATTAGTTTTCTTTCAAGTGTGATTTGCAGACATGAATATACATTAGGTTATAACTTGTAAATTTAGGTATACACATAAATGGCAGCTGGGCCATTAAAATGCCCCTCTAATTTCCATTTACTCCCTGTTGCAAAAGACATGGGAAGTGTGATGTGGTGGAAATTGGCCATTTTCAGGGGCTCACCCACATCTACTGAAAATTCCTGAGGTTCTCCTGACTTAACCTTGCTCTATTTGCATCCCGAAGCAGCTTCTCTGTCCTGGCAATGTACAGCTGATTACGTTAGGAATTCTATTTTAACGGGGTTTTAATTGCACTGGAAGTAACTAGTGATGGTGACAAAGAAACGATCCTAATGTGTATAGCCCATGGGTATGGGGTTGGCATTAGTGTCACGAGTTTATTTTCAGGGCCATTGAACATCTGGCAAGTTTATTCTAACCCATGGGATGTTATAGAAGACAACTTCTTCAAAAGAAGACTAACATGACTTTAAGAATTAATTTTGGCATTCTTATCATGCATTTTGCTTTTTAATCCCCTTAATTTTAAACACACCCAAATACCACTCATTTGGGCTGTACTAATATGAAAGTCCAATTCCTAGGGGTCAGTTCAAAGGCTACGCTAGCCATGGGAAAGACTTGTTAAGCCAATCCATAGCACACACAGCAATTCTTGAGGATTGTTTAAGAGAATTCATGCAGTGCATCTCGAAAGGTATCAGGTTAGGGCTTTGGTGAGCCAACACAGACTTTCCTCTGCATTCCTAAAGTAGGACTTCTACCAGGCCAGGATGTATGTCATACATATTTTACCTACAAGAAAGTATTCTGTAATTCAAATCTTTATTCAACTTCACCAATTACTCCAAGTTAGTCTTATGGTGTTTGCAGTTAAACTGAACACCTTGAGATGCCATTACAGGGGTCCTCAAACTTTTAAAACAGGGGGCCAGTTCACTGTCACTCAGACCGTTGGAGGGCCGTTGGAGAGTGCGGGCACATTCCACACATGAGCACTGTGGGCCTGGGACGAGTCGGCTGCTAAGCAGGACAGGCAGCGGTGGCAAAAACACCCGCTGGGCTGGATAAATGTCCTCGGCATGTGGCCCGTGGGCCGTAGTTTGAGGACGCCTGCATTAATATCTATTGCCCTTCCTGGTGGAAATCCTAATTCTATGTAGGAATTTTGCTACTTATTATTCTTTTTTTTTGCTACTTATTTGATAGGTGTTTTTAAAGTGCCCATTTCCCCCCAGATAATAAAATGCACAGCCCATTTAGAAAGCATTCTTAATGCTATAAATCATTCTCAAGTCCTTAAATCATCTTTCTTCCTTTGACCCTCAAAGGAGGCCACTGGTTGAGAAACGATTTTGCTGACTACAAAGTGTAGGTTTGTTTTTTTTTTGAGACAGAGTCTTGCTCTGTTGCCTGGGCTAGATTGCTGTGGCGTCAGCCTAGCTCACAGCAACCTCAAACTCCTGGGCTCAAGCAATCCTTCTGCCTCAGCCTTCCGAGTAGCTGGGACTGCAAGCATGTGCCACCATGCCTGGCTATTTCTTTCTATATATATTTTTAGTTGTCCAGCTAATTTATTTCTGTTATTTCTTAGAGACGGGGTCTCGCTCTTGCTCAGGCTGGTTTCAAACTCCTGACCTTGAGCGATCCTCCTGCCTCAGCCTCCCAGAGTGCTAGAATTACAGGCATGAGCCACCACGCCCAGCCTACAAGGTGTAGTTTTGATGTAACTTTTTTTAGAGCCTTTCACCATATATAGGCCTCCACTACCCACCCCCCATAAAAATTAGGCAAATACTGCAGTTTAGCTACCTCAAGGCCACTCAGTAAAAGGATACTAACATGTCTATGGTTAACTTTGACTGGTAATTGTCCACCTTCAAATCATGTAATCAAATGAGTCACTATGAAGACTTCATATGCCAAAAGACAAGTGTATAAAATAAAGGATGGTTTTCCTGGCCAGTGACTTGGCATCAGATATAGAGGAATGGTAACCAATTTGTTACAAATTGGTTGTAGCCAACTAACAATTATAAACTTCCACCACTATAACCTTCGACCAAGTCCTGCAAAGTGTGCCTAAATTCCTCATGCCAAGGACTTAGAGGCACTATAAAGTCTATAAAATAAATTTAAAAGTAAAATTATTTTGTCATAAATGTGATCCAAAACAAATATGCTTGTGATTAGAAATATTAACCCAACATTTAATTGACATTAATTTTACTATCTTATAATTTAGAAAGGTTGTGTGAGGAATGATTTGGATGATTGACTTTCATTTAAAAAATTAACATGGAAGTATAAAATGATGTCTTCTTTTTCTTTCAATACATTTACCTGTAATAGACTGAAACGCCCAAAATATCTCTCCTAGTTAAAGATGAATAAACCTCAAAGTCTATTGGGAAGACTAGATACAAATTGCAAAGGCCTCAACATTGAAATCTAAAGGAAAGAAACCCTACCACCTCTTAATCAGATGGAAACTCATCTTCCTTTTACTGTGTCTTAACATACTCCCTAAAACATCAAGGAAGGAGAGATTAAATTAATCCTTAAAGAAA